ATATTAAGACATTATTAATTAAGTTCTTGTAGGAGTACTCATTGTGAGGTATATAATAATAAAGTTAGATTCATACCCATTGGAAAACATCTAATTCTTAGGAAACTTGCTGGACAATGTATTTTTATAAGTAATCAGCATTTCTTAAAATAACTGATTGAGCTTGTCATCTTTTCTTCTTGGGGAAAAAAACACACAGTCTTGCTCTCTAACCATTATAAAAACAAACATTAGATTTTCTTCTTTACAGTAAGTATTGTTTCAAGAAGAATATCTCTCTTTTAACTTTCATACAAAGTTTATTGTTTCTTTTGCTTCCTGCACACCTGCAACTAACTAGACTCTTTGTTGTAATATTTTAAACCATCCTAAGAAAGCCGTAAGCCTACAGCTTAGCTGGTCAGTCATCCCCTTGCTATAAATGGTATTTGCATTTTCCAGCCCGTTATCTGTAGCGGTTGCAGTAAAGAAAGATATTTAGTCTGAAAAGATCAAACACTCTTCTTCTGAGATCCCATTTGATGACAAGGGGTTATGTTTGGATACATTTTTATCGTAACGTTGATTATGGAGATAAGCAATATAATTTTTCTCTTCAGTTATGAAGTGCTGGTGTGTGGAAAGTGATACAGATACTTTTGAAAGATTGTTGTGCATAAATAGTTTTCTGTTTCTTTAAAACCTTTTCTCAGTTCTCTACTTACACAGATGCTCTCTTTGTGAGGCTTGTTGGATACTATGAATGTTACATTGGCTAGGTTGGCTTTTAAGGTCGATTAAAACAGTAAGCAAATAAACATACTTGATTTAAGGAGGGGATTGCTTTTTAAGCGAGACTGGCAATAGAAGTAATGAAGAAATCAAAGTACATTTTTCAAAACTTTGGTTTGAAGTAAGTTTTCTGATGGTGTCATTACAAGAGTTCTGTGAAAATATAGTAACTGCCCTTGTCTTGGCCTCACAGCTTCATAATTATGTTATTGTCAATAATCTTACCATAATGCCTGAATTAGCATCTCAGGAAATTCTAATTTGAAATCACCAAAATATCTGTCTTTGAAATTTGACTGTCTTTATGAGACCAGACACCTACAGGGGTGCCAACAGTTTATTACTTCAAAACTTTAACAGACTTTAGGGGGCTTGATCCACAGTAGCAAACATCTGATGTTTGCTTTTACCTTGGCAGTCAATTTTATAAAAGGAAAAAAGTGTTACCTCTTAATCTGTTAAGGTAATTCACTTCTGCTTTGAGGCAGTGGAGAATAATAAATGTCTGCATTTTGTTTTTCTGCTTACTTTTTATCTTGGTGTTCTGGAATAGGTTTTAAAAAAAGTCACGAATGTGGTGTTGGGGTGGGGTTTTTTTGGTTTTGTTTCTTTTTTAGGTAGGTGTGAAAGTAGGTGTTCGTACAAGAGGATGCAATGGACTTTCTTACACGTTAGAATATACAAAATCGAAAGGAGACTCTGATGAAGAAGTAGTTCAAGATGGTGAGTTTCTGATGCAGCAGAGCAAACTTCTGTGTTGGTGGTGGGGAAGAGTAACCTATTACAAGTTTACTAAGGTGCAGCTTACTTGAAGTAACCAGTCACCTTAGTCTCTGTTTTGAAGTAACCAGTTAGTTAAAATCTGCAGCTTTGCAGTGTCTGCGTCAGAGACTACTCCACCAGAGTAGTCCAGGCCATCATTCATGTCTTTGGAGGTGGCTCATAGCAGATATTTAGAGAATAATACAGAACAACGCATATATAAAGGAATACTTTGTCAGCATACCTAAACTAAGGCTTCGCAAAGTAAAGATTTTGTTTGCCAGGGCTTTTCCCAAATACCTTCTCTAACTAGTCTTATGCTTCGTTGATTCGTAATTTGTTTTTAGCCTCTTTATGCTTTTGACCTTTACATTGCTTTATAACAATGGGTACTGTGATTTTAATTTAAGACTATTTTAAAAATTGTTTCTATATGCTGGTATTTAAGCTTTCCACCTGGTAGTTTCATTGAGTATCCCATGATAGGTCTATTGCTAAAGTTCCTGTTATGCTGTAACCCCAGGCGGCAACTAAGCCCCACACAGCTACTCGCTTACTCTCCCACCGTGGGATGCAGCGGGGAATCAGAAGGGTAACAGCAAGACAACTCATGAGTTGAGAGAAAAACAGTTTAATAGGTAAAGCAAAAGCTGCACACACAAGCAAAGTAAAACGGGGAATTCATTCATCACTTCCCATCGGCAGGCAGGTGTTTAGCCATCTCCAGGAAAGCAGGGCTCCATCACTCATAACCATTACTTGGGGAGACAAACACCATCACTCTGAACATCCCTTCCCTTCCTCCTTCTTCCCCCAGCTTTTATTGCTGAGCATGATGACATACGGTGTGGAATATCCTTTTGGTCGGTGCACTTCTTGTGCACCCCCAGCCTCCTTGCTGGTGGGGTGAGGAGCAGAAAAGGCCTTGACTCTGTGTCAGCCCTGCTCAGCAGCAACGAAAACATCCCTGTGTTATCAATGGTGTTTCCAGCAGAAATCCAAAACATAGCCCCTTACTAGCTATTCTGGAGAAATTTAACTCTGTTACAGTCAAAGCCAGCACAGTTCTGTACAGTTTTCCAGTTTTGATAAAAATTTCTGTCAGTGGTCTTTTTGTCAAATATGGATTTTTACAGAAGCATAATAGTGTTTGTTTTGGTTTCTGTTCTTTTTCTTCAACTTCCTAAAGTTCCTTTTGTGGGGGTGGTTTTGGGGTTTTTTTTAGGCATTACTGAACTCTGTTGTATTATGTTCAGGAATGCTACTTTTAATTTGGTGGCAAAGTAAGAGATTTAAATAGAAGTGGGAGATCACAATTATTTTCTTACCGAAGTTATGCTGCTAGGCAGAGCCTATCTTCCCGCTGTCTTCAAAATACCTGTGACCAACTCATAAGTTTTATTCTTTTAAACAAAGAATTAGTTGGAACATCAGCAAATTATTAAATTGACCCAGCATATTTGAGATAGGCACTGCCACCTAATTCTGCAGGTGCCTCTTGATTTCAAATTCAGCTGGATTCTGGAGTTACCTCTTCTGCTTGACTCAGAGCTGCTCTGCTTTATGGGGCTGAAAACACATGTTTCAGAAGGCCTTTCCTGGTCTGGATCTTAAGGAAGATAAAAGCACTTTCCCTCATTCAAGTCAGAGACCTGAAGTTCCAAAGCCACACAGTGTTTCAGGTCTGCCTGTGTCCGTTCTGTTTTGCCTTGGTCACCTCTAGACAGATTTGCAGTGAAGACTCTGACTTTTATATAGCTCCGTGCTCAGTGGGCTGGCGACTTTGGGTCACAGCACAAATTTTATAGGTAGTAAGGGATCAGGTCCATAAACTTTTTCTTTAGGTTTAGCCTTCACTGTCAGTTCTCTCCAAATTGACCCCAAAAATGTGTAGATTCAACTCAGTTGCCCACAGGCTTGAGCTGTGTTTGTACTATGTTTTGTCTCAATGTCTACTATGATGAAACAGCTTTCCAGCACTCTCATATATCTTACTGAGTTCTTGTTGCTGGTTACTGGTAAAATACTACATTTTTGGTTTTATTATTTCACAGTGTGTGGACAGCTAAAGCAGTCCACTCACACCTTTGCATCAGATTTGCAGTTTTAAAGTTCAGTAACTTTTCAGAGAGGTAGATGCTCTGTGTACTTTAGAAAAGTGAGTTCTGTCTAATTCCTAAGATGAACTACTAATTCTTAATCCTTAAAGGTCGTGATATCGTTGAAAGTTCACACATTTGCCACCTTCTGGGATTTAGTATTGCTAGTAGTTAATATAGACCTAATATATTTGGCAGAGCAAAAAATAGTAATTTTGAGAGGGACATTTGATTTTTCAAGGTTTTTGGGCGTCTTGTCGGATGTACAGACTTTAGGAGTGGTAGGAAATGGGCTACTGACTGTAATGCATGGGAATTAAGTACTGAAGCTGAGATTCATTCCCAAGTTCTACAGCTTCTTTCCCTGGGTATCATGTTTTTAAATCCCCCCTCAAAAATACATACATTCATGTGCACACACAAATAAGTTCTAGACTGTTGCTAGGCTTTTATAGGTAGAGTAAAAACGGTGATGAAAGTACCCCGTGTCAGGCCAGGGAAACCAAGTTATACTGATAGTCTTCATATTTAGCTCTCATCTTTTTACCACTGGTCAAAAGAGAATTTCAAAGTGGTTTTGCCAAATGTAATTTTTTTTTTCTTTGTTGTCTTCAAGGGGTTAGAGTGTTTATTGAGAAGAAGGCACAGCTGACACTCTTAGGAACTGAAATGGACTATGTAGAAGACAAACTGTCCAGTGAATTTGTCTTCAATAATCCTAACATCAAAGGAACATGTGGCTGTGGAGAAAGCTTTAACATCTGAAATCTCAGGACTACTACTTTGACTGTGAACACCCCAAAACACTTACTATTATGGCTTTCAGAAGCAAATGCATTTTCTTCAGGTTTGTAGGCTCCGTAAAGTGTGGATACCATTAAGAAAAATAGCGCTAAATCATTTTGAAAATGTAATTTTTGTGTTAAATTCCACCACTGATGTAGTTAATGCTGTAATTTGTGATGAGTTGGGATCCAAAAGGTAAGAACAGTAAGTGCTGTAGTAACCTCTCTGTACTTTCACATGCCAAGGAAATAAAATCTCACTGTTCTTTTCCTTTGTCATTTTCTTTGTCCACTCTACGTGCAGTTCCCCATCCAAAATCCATTTGAAAAAATAATTGCCTATGTGTTCTGCTTTGATTTGGGGAAAAAAAAAACCAACAAAACAAAACATACAAAAAAACACCCCTGAACCATTTATGTGTGTGTGATTATAAAGACTTACATACACAAGCACACAGTCGTCAGCTTCAGAGTTCACTATGATTATGTAGATGCTTGCTTTGTTTTTGTAGTTTTCTGATGCTTTTGTCTTTTTATGTGTGGGTTTTCCCGTGGTTTATTTTCACATAAACCCAGGGAAGTCCAAATACAAGTTCATGTATTAATATAGTGGTAGGCCACTGCTTGTAGAAATACTTCACAATGGGCTAACGCAATTTTAATTCTGTTCCTTTCCTTGTTGAAAGCACAGTCTCTGCTGTACTTAGAAAGTAATTTTCAAGAACATGAAATATATTCAGTCACTGGAGTACTAAAGTAGGATACACACAAGCCTTGTTTCTCACATTTCTGTCATTTATCTTTCTTGACCTAAATTGCAAAATTGGTAAAACTGCCTCCAGATACTGATTCCTCATGTTCACAGAATGTGCTGTCTGCATCAAAAGCTTTGAACACTTTTTTTGAGAGAGAAATCTTGCACTTCTTATTACTTTTCTGTCATAGTCATATCTGCTACTAAGTTTGTTCCACCTTGGACTGTGTTTTGTAACTTTGTAGGTACTAGGGTTTTTCACCAAAGCTTATGGTAACTCCTGTCTTGAAGTTAACTTGGTAACAGGAGAAAAAGCATTTATAATTTAAAAAATCTAGTATTTCATAATTGTTTTAAATTAATCTAGACAGTAATTAAAATACTATGCTTATAGGAGGCCATTTTTTCTTTGGAATTTAAACTTGCTTTCTTCTAATCAGAATTTTTGTTTTGTCAACCTCTTGTTTTTTCAAGCTTATAAAGTCTTCAGCACTTCTTTGCTGGTGGTCAGGCAGAAGTGTAGATGTCTCTCCAGGCCTTCCCAAAAGCTGGTATGAGAGAAGTACTGTTACATCCTTTTATCTCCGCATGTGCCTGGTTGTCCAAAGATGACACTGTGCAGCTAAATTGCTTGCCTGTGCAGAAGAGATAACGTGTCTTCCTGGGTAACTGATTGGAACACCTTGTGAAAAGGGTGCAGATAAAAAGTAGGAGACAACAGGGACTGGGATCTTGCAGTCAAGGACAAGAAGGTGTTGAGGCAGGAGTGAACTGACAGCATTAAGGCTTCTCGTTGAAAATCCAGAGGTCATATTGGTCTGGACTGTTGTACGCACATGCCTGTCAACAGCTTGGGGATAGTAATGTGCTGAAGACGTAGGATTGCAGCTGCATTGTTGTTCTTCCCTCTGCACCTTTTCCCAGGTGTAAAGGGAAGAATAGCAATGAAAAATAAAATAATTCTTGATATATTTTATGTAGTGCCCAGGAACAGAAGGTCAGAATTTCCACACCTATAGTTTAGTATTAAATACTTGAATTTTGGTTATATACTATATCACCTTTTGATGTAAAAACACTATTTCCTTCAACAGTTGTACAGTTATTTTATATAGTAGTTCAGGAATTACTAGTAATACACTGGCCAGATGCATATGGAGTGCCGTAAGTCTTTCAGTCTTGCCAAACAAAAAATACAGGTAATGTGATATAGGTGCATTAATGTGTTTAAAACTCCAAGCTAAGGGCATTTCTTCAGATTGTGTTCATCTACTTCTTGCTAGAGGGTAGGACTTTGAATCTGGTGGCTCTGGCAATTGCTAAAAGTGCTAGTACTTACTCATTTAACTTGTTTTGGGTTGGGGGATTGGTTTGGCTTTTTGGGTTTTTTTTGGACCTGTGGCATGTATAGCAATCCTTTTCCTGTGTTCTGTGTATATGCCTTGAATTAAAGTTTGCACTTTCATACTCCCACGAAATAGCCCTCTGAATTGTCACTTTACTAAGACATCTAACGCACAATGTGTTAAACTTCTGTTAAAGTGCTATTTACAGTTGTGTAGGAACATGGTTTTGTTGATTGATCCATTATAATTTTGTGTAATACTATATGGAGAATTCTCAGTTATAATAATAAATATTTCCTGTTGGTAAACATGAAATTCCTATCTTGAATGATTCTGTTTAGTGAACAAGCGCTGGGGGGAGAGAACGCGTTTGTATGCTGGGATTACGAAATAGATACAGTATTACTGTTACCTGAGTTAATACTTCTCAGAAATTTCCAAATATTAACAGCATTGGAATAGCATAGAAACATGGCAAGAAAGTAATTAACTATGTACAGGAAGGTATTTACATATACCAGAAGGGTGGGCTGTTAATGCATAGACTTCTATTAAACTTTGTGATGCACTGTTCTCATGGTAAATATTTCTAACTGCAGTATGCTTATTTTAAAGGTTTCTACATGCCAAAAAGTCATTGTGGTATGTTATAATGCAGGATGATTTTGATCAAAGTAACTGTTGACATAAAAGTTTTTTAATTGGCTAGGCAATTTGAGGGTGGGAGTC